TGGCGTGGGGTATATGTCCTATCGTGTGAGGCATAGGCAAATTTCTGTATGGGAATCTCGCCATCATGGAAATGGAGCACTATGTGGCCACTCGGATCAAATGAGGGTTCATCAAGTAGTGAACGATACCATCCCGTACATCCTTCGTGATGTATATGGGTTCCGCCGCATCGCCTTTGAACTCCTAAAACTCCTTCTAGTCATATACGGTATTCGCTAACTGGAGCTTTTCCTTGGCGTTAAACGCCACATTCACCTTCTCGTTGATCCTGACAGGCCAATTCCACTTTTGATGCAAGAAAAACTATTGTAAGGATAAATAAATATAAATACGAAAAAAACAGACCCCAAAAAAACAATTAAACCATGTAGTGCGGACGTGTCTAGGAGTGTGACTCCAGATCGGGTGTAGCTCGACGAAATAACCCTTACTGGTATCAGAGACACTATATGACATTCTACTTTCTTCACCAAACCTACAAGAACTAACAAAATTAGAAAAAAAATTGAAATACATGAAAATTTTCATTTAAAATAATTAAATTGCTAAAATGTACTAATAAGATTGGGCGATCGATCAGGATCCGATCCTCAATGGCATACTTAGCATGCAGAGCTTAAGGAGACACCGTAAAATCCGGATGACATCCCAAAGCACCCTCATCGGCAGCGAGAGCAACCGGAGGCGCAGCAGGAGTAATAAGAGGTGTACGGGGAGGAAGCAGTGGTGGTGAAGCTCAATCTTTGAAACTGAAGTATGAGCCAAAGAACTAGACCCACTAAATCCCATGTACCAAATGTCTCACTATATTCTCGACACTTTTCATTTCTAAGAGCCATGGCATCTAGCAAGAAAATATTAAAAACATTTAGAGAATTTCAAGAAACTAAAATAAATTTGCCATCTTCAGTGATTCCTGAACCAAACTAAATCAGTAACTTAATCTAATTTTTCAAACGAATCTAAATTTGTATCCTAATTAATCTAAAAGAAATAAATACTTATTTTTTTTCCAGAGGAGACTGGAGAGTACAGCTTAGAGGTAGGGACGAATTGTCGACGAGTTGGAGGAAAAAGGGGTTGGGTTTATACAGAAAATTATGTTTCCTTGTAATTCTTCATAATTTTACTAAGAATTAAAGAGGATCTTGCTTTTTATTTACGATGAATTAACGAGGAACCGTGTTTCTTGTTTACGACGATTTAACAAGTACAAGTGTATTCATTTTATGACGAAATTACAGGATTCTGATTTACGATGATTTAACAAGAGCCCACAATTTTATTTTACGATGAATGCACGAGAAAATACCCTAAACCCGAATCATGAATCCTTAAACGATGAATCCATAAACCCTGCATTTGACCTCGTAATTACAACAAATTATCGTAAGAACTCGTCTCTGACCATGTAATTACGACGAATCATCGTAAATATGTTGTACTATATTAAAAACATACAATGTAAACATACATTGACGAATTCTAAAATATAAACATTGATCAAAGTCATTAATATATATTATCTAAAAAACATAATGTTTGAGCATAAAACAACACAAAGATCACTTCACTCGGATTCCTCATTCGTGTTATCCCTAAACACATCACTTGTATCCAATTCGTCTTCATTTTCATCATCCATCATATTGTCTGAAAGATATTCATATTCAAGGTTATGCAGGTCAATGAGAAGAATGTCATCAGTAGATTGTTCAGCTACTTTAAGTTCATTTAAACACAAAGCTTGTTGCAAAGGTGGTTCTTCTCCACCAACTTTTTGACCCCTAGTTGTAATTGTATTAGCATATAACTAAGTTATCCTGGAATCTTTAATTCGAGGGTATGTAACGAAGCTAACTTGGTCTGCTTGAATTGTTAATATGCAAGACTCAAATTTGTTGTGCTCTTCATACCATTAGATTCTTTGTCCTCAATAACTAACATCTCTCCATCATCTCTCTCTCCTCCATCAACATACTCCATCACCACTCTACTAAGTGGGCTTCTAAACCTTCGGCACACCTGACTGACTATCATTTCTATTCATTGTGTTATGATGTTCCTTATCCTCTTTCCTCTTATCTATCTTACTCACTCTCTTTCCCATATGACATACATCAATAATATCACAAACCAATCCCTCATTCTTTTTCTGAGGCAATGACTTCTAAAAAGTGGTGTGGTGTTGTGGATAGAGAAATTGGTGTTATGGAATCTACAGAGACTTGGGAAGTTACCAGTCTCCCTCCAGGGAATAGGGCAGTGGTAAACAGTTTTGATTGTTAAATATCTCTCTGATGGCAGTGTGGAGAGATACAAAGCTTGTTTGGTTGCAAAGGTTTATACTCAAAAAGCTGGTTTGGACTACACGGAGACCTTTTCTCCTGTTGCTAAGATGGCTACTATTAAGTTTCTCCTTAAGGTCTTTGAATCTAAGGGTTTTCCACTCAACTTGACATCTCCAATTTCTCAATGGTGAGTTAGAAGAAGAGATTTATATGAAACTTTCAGAAGGTTATGCTGAGAGTAAGGGGGGCTCTTTGCCAAAAATGCTTTTTTACGTCTCAACTTTGTGTAGCATTGGCATCAACAACTCCAATTTTTTTTTACCGAACACCTCTACTGACGACCTGGCTAACCAATCCTTGTGTACTTCCAACGAATCTTGAATAGCCTTAATCTTAGAAATCACTGGATGAAGGAGTTTCTTTCTTGCCAATGCTTATCAAGAACTCACAATGCACACTGAGTCCTTGGCCAAGTACAAATATCTGCAATGTATTTTCAATTTTACTAGTTACATCCAAGCTCAAACTCCAAAATCTAAGTTTATAATTAGGGAGTTTAACCAGACTGAAATCATGTTTGAAGACCTTCTGAGAAATGAATCAGATCATGTGGAAGAAATGACTTGTATTCCAATGTTCTGTACGCAAAGGAAGCATGCACTGCACTAAGTTACCTTGCACACAAGGTATTTGTAACATCCCGGTTTGTGGTATATGGAAAGGCTTAAGAGAATTGATTTGACTACCTATGTCACCAAAGTGCACTTACCTTTTGGGGAGCACATCCAGAGAGAATTCCAGAGTTAAACGTGCTTGAGCTGGAGTAGTCAAAGGATGGGTGATCTATCGGGAAGTGATGCGCGATACCGTGTAAGTGAGGCCAAAGCACAGGGAAAGGTCGGGTGGTGATTGCAGGGTCAGTAAACATGACTCTAGAGCCTTGGAAAATTAACGAACCGGCCGTTGGAACGGGATGGGGCCCACGGGCCGAGAGAGCGGACGTGGGTGGCCCATTAGCTGTGGGCGGTCGGGGCGTTACAAGTTGTATCAGAGCCGAACCCCGACGAGTGTGGAGTCAGTGAGGGCTCACACTAACAGGGGTAACGATCTTGGGACGCAACAGGGACGTTGCGTTCTTTGAGAGGGGGTGAATTGTAACATCCCAGTTTGTGGTATATGGAAAGGCTTAAGAGAATTGATTTGACTACCTATGTCACCAAAGTGCACTTACCTTTTCGGGAGCACATCCAGAGAGAACTCCAGAGTTAAGCGTGCTTGAGCTGGAGTAGTCAAAGAATGGGTGACCTATCGGGAAGTGATGCGCAATACCGTGTAAGTGAGGCCAAAGCACAGGGAAAGGTCGGGTGGTGATTGCAGGGTCAGTAAACATGACTTTAGAGCCTTGGAAAATTAACGAACCGGCCGTTGGAACGGGATGGGGCCCACGGGCCGAGAGAGCGGACGTGGGTGGCCCATTAGCTGTGGGCGGTCGGGGCGTTACAGTATTTTTGACTGAGAAATACAGACATGAGTCTTGTTGCAACTACAGTTTTAAAGGGACAGCGTGAGAAAGAAGCATGTACTTGTGTGTGGACTCTTCTGGGCCATGAATATGTCGAGACTAAGAACACGCCTGCTGCCGTTGATGTATACCGAGAAGCTGTTGATATAAACCCTTGTGCTACCGAGCTTTGTATAGGTTAGGACAAGCATATGAGATGATGTGGAGGCCTTTCTATGCGCTTCATTATTTCCGCAAATCCATATTCTTCCTTCCAAATGATTCTAGGTTATAGATAGCCATGGCTATAAATGCTACCTAACCGAATAGTTATACATGCTGGAAGAAGCCATCAAGTGCTATAAAAGAGCTGTGAACCATACTGACACGGAAGGCCTAGCTCTTAATCAGCTGGTGAAGTTTCATAAGAAGTTTGGGAGTAATGAAGAAGTTGCATATTACTTCCAGAAGTATTTGGAGAAATGGAGAAGGATTAGAGGGACCAAACAAGTTTAAACCTTTGGTTTCTCTTTCTACACATTTCAAAACCTACAAGAAGTTTGAAGAAGCAGAAGTATATTGCACCTGTCTTCTCGATTATAGTGGGCATGTAAGTTTGTGGCGAGATTGCATGCATGCTTTCAGGAGAGAGCAAAGAGCTTACTCAGAGGGATCAGAAAGGCGCAAACCGGTTTTCCTTCAATGGATATGGAGCATTTTCCACTTTAGTTGTAGTGCCCCAATACTTAAAAGCTCTTTGTGAAAGAGGGAATGTCTTCCAGTAGGTACCCTTTGAAATATATAGATTTCATCAAGATGAAGCCTTTTACTCTCTATGTTCAGTTTGACAACCATGTAGTATTCATAATATACATTACTTGTTGCCTCTAATTATGGATTGTGTCCATCAAAAGGTGGCCAGAGCATGGTATTATAGAATACAAAGTCAAAATCATGAAGTTTTCTTGATAAGTGCTTGAGTTTTCAAGCTTGAGATCCTGTCAAATATAAACTGCAATTATGTTTCCAAACATCAGTTCAATAGAAATAGTTGTTACTCTCCTTAAAAGCAACAACATAAGGCACCAGCATAATGAACTAGCCTTTTGCTGGAGGGTGACAAATGAGATTTTATTAAGAGACACTGAGACAATCAATCAATCCCAATTCGAGAAAACAATACAAAACGTCTTGAAAAACTGTTGGTTCAGTAAGTAGGATCAGTGAAGAACTTGTTGAGTCCAGGCATGATTTCTGGACGCTTGTCACGAACATACCTCCTGAGGAAATTTTCCTTGTACCTCTCTCCTTCAGCATGGTTATCCAAGATTCCAGCAGCCCTGTTCTCCTTGGTACATCTGCAGAATTCAGCAGATCTCTTTTTTTAAAACAACCTTTAGAACAATATAACACAAACTCTAATATTACAAGAAATGTCAAGAAAAAAAAAAAAGAACCTCAAACAATATCTGCTTCCAAGGTCTACATAGATAGCTATACAGAACGTTGCTGTTTTGTTTTATCACAAGTATAATCTAAGACCGAACTTTATTAGTGGTGGGGTTCTCTATCAAAAGTCTAAAACACTGAGATACAGCCTTTGAAGTGATTCCAAAGACATAGAAATAGGCTAAGTTTCTGTTTCATTTACAGAGTAGTATCTGGACATAGTGGCACCGTTTAAAATAACAATATCTGGACTATTGATAGGATCTAAAACACAGTCAAAACCTCAAAAACAAACCTGACTTCAGGGTTTCCGGTGATGTTCCTAATCAACGAGAATGCACAGATCCCAACAGCAACACCGGTCGCGGCGAACAAGGGATACACCTGAAACACGCAAGTCAATTCTAAGAAGCATCGATGCCAGATCTAAAGAAACTCAAAGCAGTCAAAAGATAATCAATTGATAGACTGGGATCTGCTCGATTGTTCAAAAAACCTCAGGTCTCAACCAACGGCTCGACATTGGAATCGCGAAGAAGATGTACGATCGAGAGAGATTGCAGGAGGAGGAAGACTGTGAATGTTGAGAGACGTAAAGAGACTTCCCCTTTTTATTTTAACTTTAGGTTGTACGTTTCTTTATATTCAGTAGGAATAAATATTTTCTGTAAATTCGAAAACTGATTTCCAATTGGCAGGGAGGTGTCCAGGTTGAACCAATGAGTAATCGGCACATGTCCATAGATCGTTTCCTGCAGCGCCAAATGGGGCAAGTTGCAGGATACAATTCTCATCTTCCTATTAACTCGATACAGTTGTGCGTAACTTTTGGCAAATTTTTTGTGGTATTATTTTCTTGATCGTTGAAAAATCTGTTTGTTTTATTTTCTTCGGTCAGATGATGATCACTAAGCATGCGGTTTATAACTGAACCGAACTCGCCTAACCCCGAACATAACCAAAATTTTGGTTCGTTAGGTAATAAATTTGGTTCAGTTCGATAGGTTTACAAACAAAATTTGGTTTTGGTTCAGTTTGGTACGAAATCGATTAATTTGATTTTTTTATTCTTTTTGTTAACAAAAATTTGAACCAAACTAATTGAATTAACAAAAATTTAGAAGTGATATTACATGAAATTAGCCGAAATTTAACCAATTTTTTTAACCGGAATATAATTGAAACCAAAACATTTTGGTTATTTGATACTTTCTTTTATATAATGATTTTTTAAAGAACGCAAGAATTGTTCTCTTCTAAAGGATTACAGAAAATAACAAAAAATAATAATTAATGGGTCATTATTCTGAGAAAAAAATATATGAATAGTACCATATTCAAATTTAAGGGAATGTAGAAGATAAAATTACATCCTTCATACAAGGCCCATTGAATAAATATAATTTGCTCAACTGAGTAAAGTCGGTTAGGTATAAACCGATTTACAAACACACATTTTACGGCACAAGATAAGGGTTTCCTCTGTGTACCTTGTTCTTACCGAAAACACTATCTTAAGTTAAGTTCATAGCTAAAACTCTTTCTAATCGTCTCTTCGATCATCAATAAACGTTTGTTAATATTCTACCATCGAATTTGTGTACACATCCATGCCAAATTCAAATTAAAAAATGTCGTTGTCTATAGAGAATATGAAAGCAACGCCATTAGAGATCCGTCATGACCACGTACCAGCACATGAAAAACCATGACGGCTACCAATATCGCCAACATGATGGAGATGATGAAAAACATAATGAATTTTCTTGCTCAACAAGACAAAGCCAACAAAACAACCAACGATCATCTCGCTGCCATAATCTTCATCATCACGCTGCCTTCCACTAATGACGAAGATCCTGAGAACAAGAATAGAACTCTTCCACATCAACAACCCTACGACTCAAGGAGTCGACCAAGCAACAAACTGGCAAATAACCAATCTTTAATATTTGATGCAATAAATCAATTCAAACTTCACAAGAAATCACCAACATAAAGATTCATCAAACGGACGAGCTAATAATATCATCCTTCTCAGTAGACTGTAATCTAATATCATATGATTGTGTTCAACATAGCCATGAAACAAGCACATTTACCCTACAAAGAGAAGGATGTCAGATACTGCCAGCTATTCTTAAAAAACCTCAATTGAACAGCTATGACTTGGTTCTCCATGTTGTCTGAAGATTCCATCAGTGACTTTTGTGGTTATCTATGGAGTTCGTTAAGAACTACTCCATGTTCATCCAAAAAGGAGCTTCCGCATTGGACATATAGAAGATGTCTCAAGGTTCAAGACAAAGACTCATGAAATTCTTTGAGAAATCCAAGAAATTAGTCTCCAAAGTGCATGTTCTAGACGATACAACTTGAGAACCTCCATGCAACACACTAGAAAAATTTCAAGTACCGAGATGACCTCTACATTTGCATTTCATCTAACATATGAGATGGCTATTTTAGTGAATTGCAACAAATTTTGCCACAATTTGTATCTCTCTTTTTGGTTTTTTTCACTGCCATTTTTACCCAGTTGATTGACATAACATTCTTTCGGTGGACTAATCAAATTGCTACGATTTTAAGTTGTGGCTTTGGTTTTTGTATCATGCCTTGAAATTTTTACAAAAATAATTTGTGTTGCATTTTTTTAGTGGACTAGATATGAAATTGCCACAAATTTAAACTGTGGCTATGTTTTAACTATATTTTATTGTAAATATATGTAACCACGATTTAATCGCGGCAAACCGTAGATTTTTTTATATTTCTTCAATTATATAGAATTATTATAAATTTTACTGAATTTGGTTGACTGCTTATTATGATATTTTAAGACTCCTTTCCGGTTCAAACGATTTAATCTCAATAGTCACAAAGAAAATTTTCAAAAATTTTACCATTTTTCAACGACTATGAACAGTATTTTCATCTATAAATACACTCATCCTTCATTTATTCAATTCATCAAAAATATTCATCTCCTCTCAAATACTTTTAAATATTTTTCTTCCGTTTTTTTCGTGAAGAAAGATGATTCGTTTGCTTTTAGTTTTATGTTCGATTGTAATTTTTCCTTGTATGTACGGTTTTTTGTTAGATAATTTACTCCAATATAATTAATATGAATGTCACTTTGTTTTTCTATGCGGCGATTTTCCATGTAATTATTTTCATGATTAATGTAAACGGTTTGTTTTAAATATTATCAAAATTCTAATAAAAATTATTATATTTGATTTTAGAAATACAAATAGCAAGATTTGAGCATCTTCATTTTCCGGTTCTCAAAATAACTAGCGAAAACTATGTCAGATGGGTGACAAACGTGAAACCCTATCTGGCGATGAAAAGGTTAACCTAGGTGATTACAGTCGGTAACAAACCGCCGCATGAGCATAAGGCTGAAGCGATAATTTTCGTAAAGAAACAACTCGATGAAAATGTTGCGAGCATGAAAGACCTAGTTGAACGGTGACAAGGCTGAGGAATACAATTCCGCTGTCATGAGGATATTTTTTAGTTCTGAAATATTGTGAAAACTCTGTCTCTGAGGCGGAAATAATGAATAATACATACAACACTTTCCACAAACATCTTAACTTCCAACCCGAAGTTTACAGAAAATGTGAGTACACGAGATTTTCTGAATTGATGGTTGCGCTCATGTTGGCTAAAAAGAACAATGAGCTTCTGTTCAAAAACCATAATTCCTGACCTACGGGAGCCAAGGCATTCCATAAAGTGAATACTACGGCGATAGAAAACTCAGAGAAGAGAATCCAAACCAGTCGGGGTCGTGGTCGTCGTTTCAATAACAAATGTGGAAAAACTTACAATCCCAAATGGAAAGGATCTAACAAATGAGTTAGACCCGAACAAGTGTCTAATGGTAAATAAACTCAAGTGGATACCACTCAGAAGCACAAAAATGTATATTACAGATGTTGTACTCCTCACATCTTTGTAAGTTATATCAAGCGTCCACAAAAGGCAACGCTAAGGACGTGAATCTCACATAAAATTTAGAGGGGACATCTTACATCCAAACCTCTGATTTCACAAATGAGCTTAACTAGATTACCCCTGAAGAGAATTAAAATGCTTGCAATAAGACTACTAAATAGTCTCTAGTGTTGCCATGTATAATTATTACATTTCCTGTTTTGAACGAATAACGATTTTTTTAACATCACCTCAATGTATAATTATTGTGTGTTTTCTTATATGATTATTATATGAATGAACTTCATTTTCGCTTTTATTAATATTTATGACAATTACAGAAATGGATCACAATGCTAATGGAACAAAATCCAAGAAACGGATTCGAGAAATTTGTATACCATATAGTGAAACAACGCAAACTATAGAGATAAATTGAGCATTCTCAAAATGGTATATTCGTGCATCAGTACACATATACTAAAAAGTGTAGGAATGGTTTAACATGGAGAAATCAACTCCTCTTAGCACTCTGATGGTTGTTAGATCACTTAATGTTGTAAATGATTCATTTCGACCATCTATGGAAACAAAGAAGAAATACTTGATCTTGAAGTACCATATCTAAGTACAATTGGAGCATGATATACCTTGCAAGTTGTACACAGCCTAATATATCATTTGATGTTAATGTTTTGACGAGATTCAGCTCATCTCCCACACGAAGACATTAGAATGGAATTAAACATGTGTTTCATTACCTCCAAAGGACCAGTGATTTAGGCTTATTTTATCCTACAAATTTAGATGATTGATTTTCCAGATGCATGATATTTTTCAGATCCACATAAAGCCCAATCACAAACAGGATACGTTTTCACGATCATAGGCATTGCTATATCTTGGCGTTCCTAGAACAAACTCTTGTTGCCACTTCTTCAAATTATGATGAGATCATCACACTCCATAAAGCAAGTAGAGAATGTGTGTGGCTAAAATCAATAAGCCAACACATATGTTCAAGAAGTGGGATTAACGAAAAAACGGAGCCTACTGTTTTATATGAAGATAATGTGGCATTTGTTGCTCAGACAGAGGAATGATATATAAAAAGTGATAGGACAAAACATATACATCTGAAGTTTTTCTCTTACACTTAAGAAGAATAAATAAATTGAAGTAAGATATGTTCGTTCATGCGAAAATGCAGCCGGCCTCTTCACAAAATCACTTCCTGTCTCGATATTTAGAAAACATGTCCATAACATTGGAGTGCGTCATCAGAAAGATTTATGACTGTTCATTCCAGGGGGAGCTTGCGTGGTTGTACTCTTTTTACCTTACTATGGTTTTTCCTCTAGGGTTTTCCTAGAAAAGTTTATAACGAGGCAAACAAAACCGTTAAGCAAGAAATGATAGTAACCATGATCTCTAAAGGGAAGTGATATAAACATGAGGAAAACGAAAGTCAGAAAAAGATACACCATATTTTGAAATTTTTATGTGAACGTTTATTATATGGAGTCCACGTCATTACACGTGCACACTAACTTTAATTTTTTACTTCTACATATATGATCGTTTCGATCGATTGTAAACTTGCACCTTACACATTCTCTTCTCCCTTGTTATAAAATTTTTCTCTGTAATAATTTATCCTACATCACTATTAATTTATTTTTTTGTATATAAAATTTTGTCTCTATTTAATTTTTCCGATACTATCAAATTATATTTTCATAGTACTCCAAAAGAACAGACTACCAAAGGGCAACACTCCTACAATAGTCACCGCTAAAGACTTGTTTTCTCAGAAAACCTCTAGTAAATCATATAAAACGGGAACGGTTAAACAAAACACCGAACATTGCCAAACTATACGACTAACTCGAGATGTTTTATAAAAAATGGCATCATATAAGGAATCGATCTCATATAAAGTCGTAAAACGGCTAAATCGCAATACGGCTCGGAAAGTTCTAAAACGCGATAAAATCCCACTCACAACTTTAGAAAAGATCCAGCCCAAAGATATGATGACGGCTTACCCAAATAGAAGTTTTCCGAAGAAAAATGAAAAATCGAGAAAAATGGAAGATTTCTGATAATCGCAAATCGGGGCGGACAAGGAAAGACCAACCGCCTTGAGAAGAAGTATATAAGCAGAAGTCCAAGGACAAAAAAAAGGAACACGATTTTTAGACCTCTCATCTCACAGGAAAATTTAGAGCATTTAGGCAATTTTTCGTTTTTGTTATCGAGTTGCGTCTCAACTAGGGTTTTAATCTTAGGTTGCTAGAACTAGGAAACTCATTGTTACCTCTTGTAGCCTAGGCTTTCACCTCGTTTTACCGTTCTTACACAGAATCAGAATAAGAAACCTCTTTTCTCTCTTTTAAAAATAAATTCGTCTCTATTTGAATAATGGAGAGATTGTCAAGATACATTTTCATTTTGATCTTCTTTTTTCCGTTTTAGAATATCCTATGATTTTTTTCACTACTCGGTTTTAATTGACTCCCATCAATGTTGTTTTTCCTCAAACAAGTTTACCACGCATGATTTTATTTATATTTGAATTTGTCAAATTTGAATACTATAGCTCTGTTCTTTTAGATGACGTGAACGCAGCGGCTTGCGGCCAAAACCGAAACATCAAAAAAACAAAATGATAGTGTAAAATTAATCAAGCTGACGCTGCGAAGGTTTCCGGTGTCTTCACAGACGCTGTTAAAAATAGTTGCAGTTAGATGGTCGCTGCGATTATTTTTGATAGGGAAAAGCACCGCCGCCGGTGTTACTATCCAGATGCATAAACAAGAAAACAGTAATACATTTGGCTTCAAGCCCCTGACGCAGCGCGTCTTGTAAACGAACAGAGCTTATGACTTCTCGACAACAGAATAACCAAATGATATCCATACTCTATTGACAGGAAAAACCTCACAAATATGCAAAGATCTCTTAGAATATCTCGTTTCCCTGCCACTATTCCTTATAAATCCATATTATTTCATTCCCTTTGCAAAATCAAATCTCTCACTTTCTTTTTTTTTTGACTAAAAATCTCGCACTTTCTTGACCGAAAAAAAATCTTGCATTTTCTTCTCAATCTCTCTCATTTACAGATCTTTGATTGATATGGCTGAGGTTATGCGTCCAGAGAAGTTGGACGTATCCAACGATACTTCTTCCTTAGGATCACCTGAGCTTCTTCACGTTCTCTCTGTAGACGATAGCATCAGTTATAAGAAATTCATCGAGCGGTTGCTCCAAGTCTCGTCTTGTAAAGGTAAAAGAAAAGAATTTTTGATTCATTGCTTTCGTTTTGTGGATTTTCGTCTGCATAATATTTGGTAGGTAAAATGTTGTAGAGAGTAAAATCATTTTTAATGAAAAAATTGTTACTTGCCTTTACAACAAAAGGGAAATTTTGACGTTCCGAATGAATTGTGGTGGATATTGGGTGAAGAATCATAAAGGAAATTTTGGTTATTTTGGTGGTGAGGTGAGAACCATCAATTGTAAACCTGCAGAAGAGTTATTTAACTCCATGGCAGTAGAGTTTGGGGAAGGATTAAATTCAGAAAGAGTGGTATAAGCTCCCTTTATAAAACCATAAGGATAGGAAGAAAATAAGAAATGGTGATGGGATTTTTCTGAAGATATGTGAAGATACTAAATGGACAGGAATGGTTAAAAGGTGAGAGGCATGGAAGGAAGTCTTCAATTTTGGTTTGGCACTAGAGTGTAGAAATTTTCATATGGAGATGTGGTTCTGAGATAGTAGTTTTTTTGTGTTTGATCATGCGGGATCGATGTCTTTGTCCGGGATTGTCTCCTCCAGCCGGGTGGAAGCGATGGATGCAGGAACTTCTGGTTTCTCGAACGTTGCTTGCTTTGGGTCGTTCTCTGCGGGCGGTGGCGTGACCTTTGCCCGTTTGGGTTTCATGATTGCTACCGCCAATTGCCTCAGCTTATGTTCGGCCAGGAAGCAGGATCGCGATTGTCTTTGGCATCCCCAAATTGCTGCGACTCCCGTAGGTGTTGGGAATTTGATGCCTAAGTGATATGTTGACAGAACCGCCTTCATGGAATTTATCCAAGGCGTTTCCATGATCACGTTGTAGATAGCCGGGAAATCGACTACCGCGAAGTTAACGATTTTCGTCACTTCTTTTGCGGCAACCGGTAGTCGGATTGATCCCAGGGTCATCGATATCTCGCCGGAGAAACTGGTCAACGGTTTTGGAATTGGCTCGACTTCCGAGAGGTCGATTCCCATGCGTGCTAGCGTGTTGCGGAAGATCACTTTGACAGTACTTCCGGTATCGACCAAGATCCGAGAAACTTCTAAATCGCTTATCACTAAGTCGATGACAAGGGGATCGGCGTGAGGTTGGTCGATTCCGCCGGTTTCAGCGTCGTCGAATGAGATCACCCCTTTCGGAGAGTCATCCGTCGGCACCTTCCAACTCGAGCCGGTTTCAGCTTTGCGTTGGTAGGATTTGATAGACAAGACGGTGTCGTTGTAATATTGCGATTCACCGATAATCATGTTGATTTTTCGGCACATAGAGTCGTTACCTTTCTCGTCTTGTCTTCGCCCGCGTTTTCCGCCGGACTGGTTTCCCTGAGGTGGGGTTTCCGCTCGCGCGTTCCTGTCGTTCTTCGGCAGGCGATCTGAATCGCGGATGAGATCCTTGAAACTGGATATCTCGGAGAGTTCTCCCGCGACCAATTTTGTGGCAAGTCTGGCGCCGAGAACTTTGCAGTTCACGGTGGAATGCCCACGGGTTTGGTGGAGGTCGCAGAAAGAATTCTCATCGTAATTCGAATTTCTCATCCATGTGTTACCCGTGGTTCGCCCTTGCTCCGATCCGGAATTGATGGCGTAGTTATGCGCCCCTTGGAGATCCTATCCCTCGTGATGGACAAATTTGTCGTTACGAGAGTTCCTCTTTTTCTGCTTCTGCTCGGACGCGTTATCCTTCGCGGATGTTTTCGTCGGCTTATCCTTCTCGGACAGGATTTTAGTCTCCTCTTCGATGGTTATGAAGTCAGTGGCCTTATGGAGCGCATCCTGGATCGTCTGCGGTTTCTCGAGAGTTATCCACTTGCGGAATTTCGATTTATACCAGAGTGATTTCCTTAACGCGTCGATGGCGGCTTTGTCGCTAATCCCGCTAACCCTATCCATGACGAGTTTGAACCTACTCATGAAATTGCAGAGAGATTCGTCCTCCTTCTGCACCAAGCTCCAGAGGTCGGCGTCAGAGGTTTCCGAGTTAATGAACATCGAGTGTTGCTTCAGAAATTCCGAAGCCAGTCGACGGAAACTTCCGATCGAATTTCGCCTAAGTTTGGCGAACCATTCGAGCTCTGCTCCTTCTAGGTTTTCGACGAAGAGGCGGCAGTAGCCTGCGTCCTTTTCATGGTCCTTGAGCTTGGATCGTCCCATGGTGATCTGGAATGCTTGTAGGTGTGCTTTGGGATCGGACGTCCCGTCGTAAGTCGGCACCTTAAGTTTTCCGGGATCGAGCAGTTTGATCTCGGTGATGCGAGCCGTGAAGGGTGTTTTCCGAGACTCGTACAATAACCGATCGATTTCGGGTGCGGCGCTGGTAGCGTGATGAATGTGAGATTTCACTGCTTTTACCGCTGCGGCCGTTTTAGTGATGTATTCGCGGTCAGATTGCCAGCAGTTTTCCAACCTTGTCGGCGTTTGCTGTGAGTAACCAGAGATCGCTCCTCGGCGGTTTTTGCGTATCGCGCAAAGTCGATATCCCCCTCGTCTCCAGTAAAAGAACGTTCGGGAGAAGACTCCGGCAGAGGACTTCGAGTTTTTCTTCTCCTAGGATGGACGTCAGCGTCTTCTTCCGACGAATCGGCCTGGTCACTTGTCTCCAGGTTAACCCTTTCGATGCCGTCACCCTCGGTCTCCTGTTCGCGAGTAGGAGGTTTCTCCGATTCGTTTGGCGTCACGTCAGGGTTATCTTTTCCAGAATCCTTTTCCGGTAAGTTACCCTGCTCGGTTCTGGGACGATCCGTAGGAGCGCCGAAATCGAGCCTCCTTCCGCGGATCTTAGTAGTTCTGCAAGGGCGAATTGCTCGGGTTTTCGCGGTTAGGGTTTCAACCCGTTTCGCGAGCGAGCCAATGAGCTTTTCCTGCTCTTCCGATTTTTTGTTAAACTCGGAAAGCATCTTTTCGATTGTCTCGGCGTTAGTGTTTGTAGCGTTGGCCGCGGACGCATCTTGTGGTGGTGTTGTTTCAACGTTATCGCGTTCGTTGCGAGTTTGGTTGTCACCAGTCATCGTTTCTTCGTTAGACATGTTGTGGCTTCGGTGTAAGATAGATCCGACCCCCCTCCATCTAGCGCCAAACTGTGGAAACCGAAATCCACCTACTGTCAATAAATCGTAAAAAAGGAAACTTCGGGAAAACCCTAAGTTTTCAGAGGAACCGGCTATCTGCAGAACCGCACAACGAAGATTAAGAAAACGATAAACTTAGAATTTTTAAGAGAATAAACGAAATTGAGAGCAAAGAGGTTCTTATTCCGAATCTGCGTAAGAACTGGTACAAAAAGAGTAGCCGAAAAGTCTAAGAACGAAAAACCCTTATTGAGACGCAGCTCGCTAACAGAAAACGGAAATATTCCTAAATGCTAATTTTTAGTGGTGAGAGCTCTGAAAATCGTGTCCCAGCTTCTGCCCTATGCCTCCTCCTTATATACTCCTCCTTAGGCGGTTTTAGTCTTTCCATTTCGCCCGAAACCGAATATATCGGGAATTTTCCATTTCTGTCGATCCTTCCTTTTCTTCCGCGGAAATCTTCTATTTATCTTCAAACTTGCCTTTTATCTTCTGTCCGCGTGTAAACCACCACAACGTTATCGTATCTTCAGGTTTGATTTCGTTAATATCGCGAGATGGGTTTTTATCGTGTTTTAGGACCTTTCGGGCCGTTTTACGATAAAAACCGTTTTACGACTTTATACGAGACCGTTTCCTGATCCGATGCCGTTTTTACGATCTTCTCGACGTTTTTTATTAAAAACGCGTTTTTATGATCTTAACGAATAATCTCGGATAAATCGTATAGTTTAGGCGATGTCCGGTGTCTTGCTCAACCGTTACCGTTTTATACGATTTCTTCGAGTTCTTTTCGAGAAAGCGGAGTTTTACGGTTTTTATCGTAGAATTCGAACGATAAGTCGGATCGAGACGAAACGAGAGACATTTCGGCCGTGGTTCAGAATATGACCGTGTCAAAGGTTGTAAGGTTCGAATCGGGGCTGCGGGAGATCCGGGAGATCTCTAGTTCGCCTGCTGGCGAATTAAGCCAAGCTGGCTTAGTTCGCCAGCAGGCAAACTAGTTGGAGAGTGCCTAGTTCGTCTGCTGGCGAACTAAGCCAGCAAGCGAACTAGTTGGAAGCTTCTAGTTCGCCTGCTGGCGAACTAAGCCAAGCTGGCTTAGTTCGCCACTGGCTTAGTTCGCCAGCAGGCGAACTAGTCGTCACTAGTACGCGTTTCGTGGCGGTTTCGGCTTCTCGAGTTTTATAAAACGGCTTCTCGAGTTTTATAAAACGGCTTCTTGAGTTTTATAAAACAATATTCAAGTTTTATAAAGCGATCTTCGAGTTTTAGAAAATGGTTTCTCGAGTTTTATAAAACGATCTTCGAGTTTTATAAAGCGATCTTCGAGTTTTATAAAACGGCTTCTCGAGTTTTATAAAACGGCTTCTCGAGTTTTATAAAACGATTTTCGAGTTTTATAAAACGATCTTCGAGTTTTATAAAACGGCTTCGAGTTTTATAAAACGACTTCTTGGGTTTTATAAAACTATTCCTTTTGTATTTTTGCGGGGAGCTTTGGCTATTGATTCCGTCGTACCGATTTTGACCCCAACAATATTTCTCAGTCTTTTGTGACACAAAAAGTTACAAGCTTTCACGTAAAACAATAGCCAAACATTTATCAGACTCGTCACTAGTCGCTGAGAGGTGAAGCACATTCTTAGAGAGAGATATATATGGCAGTTTATATTCTTCATCATTTCTTCATCTTCTTGTCCACCACAAATTTATTTTAAAACACCATCAGAAAACACCGTCAAACAAAATCGCCTTTCTCCATTGTCTAAGCCTTCTTCCCCATATGGTTCATTGCTCCAATAAACCAGTTCTATCTTCTCATTGCATCCTCGTAGTTCCCCTCTCAACTATACCTTGAGATAAACTTAAATCCCATTTCAACAAATCATGAACATCTTAAAAAATCTTGTTTCTTCTCCTCCTTCTCCTCATCAATTTTATTATCCCAACAGCTCATCTTTCTTGCTCGCTTACACAACCATTTGATCTTTGGTATCGAGATTGAGGCACTGAGTGTTTCCTCATGAAACTGATGTGAGGGTGAATGTCGATTCCTCCTAGGAGGAACCCTTAAAAAAGAGGAGAATTTTAAGATGACCTTAATTGGAAAGAAGAAAACTCACAGAGATTATTTATAGCTTTTGATGATTGAGATCATAAAAGGTCTAAATTAAATCAGATCCAAAATTAATTTTGTTTTGATTACTGTGAGAGTATAGATAA